GCCATTTGACTGACAACCACTAACTGTTGTTTTTGTGTGATGTTTAGGGGTAGGTCACTTTTAATAAGGTGCAACAAAAAGATACATACGGGGAAACGTTTAAATATGTGATGCTGTGAAATTCACACTTTTTTTTAGTCAAACAAAGCAACTGCTAACAAAAGTTTGTTTTCTATTGATTAAACACAGAAGTGCATACAGCCAATCAGAATGCAATGGACTAAGATTTTAAGATGTGTTGAGATCTTACCGTAAACATGGAATTATGTAAACATATTGTCACTGCATTAGCAGCATATTAAGAGTTTCTAGAAGTGATTTTGTGGTCTCATTAGATGCCACATGGAAGCCGGAGGTTACATTTGTCTTGCTTTAGAAGCACTTTAGAACACCGTTGTGATCACAGACCACAAAGTCAGATCATCAGGCTTTGTAGGCTTTTGAAGGTCAGAAAAAAAACATTGACAAATCAATATTATTGGGTTAGCAAGCTAATGTTTTGTTTTACTCGGGCCTAACAGCATCACAAGAGCAGCTTAGCATCGAACAAGTTCAATCACTCCTGCAGCTTTCCATCCCCAGCTAACCTGCTCAAGGGCAGGCTATGTTGTGGCTTAGTGCATAAGAGCAATTTCACGATTGAGCAGCAATTTATATCAGACCAGTTCTGAACAATCATGAAGACTAGAGTGGTTTCAATCATTTGTAAACCACATATATGTATAAACATTTGTTTCAATCCCTCTTGCAGCATATTTTTATTTAAATCATGTCTGACTTTTTCTTAGTGAAATCTCTTTTTTTTTCCCTCAAAGGATAAAAAAAAAATAAGAACTAGAAAAGTGGGAGCTCCAGTGTAACATAAGAGGTGGTTCAACAGTGTAAAAGTAAGCCAGCTAATGTGTTAATTAGACATAAATACTGGACTGTATTCATCAAGGTCTTTAAAAGTTATTTACTGAAGAGATTAACAGCCAATAGCTGCCGTTAGTTTGCCATTAGATTGCAAAAATACTGCATCACTGTATTAAAATAAAAAATAACTATGATGAATATAGCCACAAGCTATGTGTTCCAGTGAAGTTTCACACATGATTTTAACCTTATTATGCCTGGCGAAAACTGGATGTTAGCCATGTTTTTACATCAAGCTGCTGTTGGAAGTCTTTGTTTGGACTCAACATGCTAAATTTAAACTTGGTATGACAATCATTTGTTGAAATGCTCTTATAGTGCCCCCTACAAACTGACATGCACCAAAATTGGCAGTCTTTCATGAGTCTATAGTTTTGCGAAAATCAAAGCGAGTTTCATAATGTGAAAGAACAACTTTTTGAAGAACTTGTTGTGAACATCTTGACTCCAGTTTCCTGAGAAGATTGGTGTGCACAAGTGCCTACCTGAACATACCTTTCCAAGTTTCATGATGATTGGTCAATGTTAACCTTGCCAAAGGTCTGCTGAGAGCTGATTCACCAATTGCTGTCACACTTTTTCCAAGGAACAGGTTACCCTTAATTCCCTCTTGTAATCAAGCTCAAAGACGCAGCATGCAAAATTTCAGCTAGGTTGGATATGAGGTTGCTGAGAAACATATACTTTACTGTCATGGCACTCTCTTTAGACATAAACTAATGCCTACCTCAGAATCAACCATTTAGCATTGCTTTAAAATTTCATCTAAATCAGACAAAGCGTTAATGAGTTTAAGCTGTTTTAGTAAACACTCTGATCCGAAAGGGTTCATTTGCATGTGGCAGCTGTACTGTTTAGAAATGTTAACATGTTTTTGGTAAATATATACTGGGAATACTTTGATACCAGGCCATTTTATGAAGATTGAGTATAAAAACTAGGACTAGTTTGCAAAAGTAGGTCTTGCATATTACTCAAATTACCAAAAAGTCTAAACAGGCAGAAATTAATGGTTCTTGAAGCTTTTCAGTTTGGCTTGAGTCAAGTAATCAGGACAAAAAAGAATTTTGTCTGTATACCTCACGGTGTACGTTTGGTCTGCCCTATTTATTTTATGGCAGAATCAGAATAATACTACAAATCAATTACAACATTGTTCTACCACCTACTTGGACCCCTAATAATAACTTTATAGAGCACTTTTTTTATAATATTAGCAGCTTTACAAAAACAAAAAACCTTGGATAAATGAGAGTTACGAGTATTAAGTAAAATCACGCAATAACAGATTATGAACGGTTCTATATAGGAGCATGATTAAAGGGTTCATCCATGCATCAATGTGCATTAATGTGCTATAGACATTTCTATATAGAAACCTTTTGGAAATAGTTCTATTTAGCATCCCAAAGCATTCATCTATTTGTCACAAGCTTGACACCATAACAGAAGAACCCTTTTGGGTGCTATATAGAACCATTTTCAAAAAGGTTCTATATAGAATCATCTACAGTACATCAATCTGAGAAACCTTTTCATGAAACAAAGAACCCTTTAGTCATGCAAAGTGTTCTTTTAGTGTCCATGGTTCTATATAGAACCATTTTCTTTACTAATGAACCTTTCAAGCACCATCTTTTTCAAGAGTGTAGATTTTTAATTAAAAGCTAAAGAGATATGTTTTCAAAGTGCTTATCAAATTTGAATGCCTAATAAAAATGAATTCCATTTTAGCAGCATTAGACAGAAAGAGGCCTCTCCATGTTTTCTGTATTTGCAGACAGCCACTATCTGTAGACCTAAGATCACGTGGTGTAATATAAACAAAGACAGTCAGTGGGCGTTTAGAGCTTTAAAATTAGTAAAGAAACTTTAAAATATGTCCTAAAAGACACAGGCAGCCAAAGCACTTCTTTTTTCAAAATAGGGATACAAGCTCTCTTTTTGTTTCCTTTAGGATCCGTGCTGCGGCATTTTGTACGAGCTGTAGAGGATGCAGGGGTGCAACTTACATACAGAATAACACATGCATGGACAAGTTTCTCTGTATTGCTCTGGGATAGAAAAGACCGAAATTTAGCAATATTTATCAACTGATATAAAGCTCTTCTAGTAACTGCATTTACATGCAGAATGAAACAGCTTAGAGTCTAACATTACACCCACGTTTTGTATTTCAGTCTTGATTATCAGAAACATTGGAAATGTGTAATTGCGTATCAACACAGCTATAAAAATAAAAAATAGTGTTTCCTGATGACCTTACTGAGAGATAACATACAAAGAGAATACCAAAGGCCCTAAAATTGAACCTCGTGGGACTTCACAAGAAATGTAAAATTTTTGATGAATGATTCATTTTTTGATGAATCATTAAACATATTTCAAACCATACTAAGTCTGTGTCTGAGAGGTCTACACAGTTATCAAGACAGTGGATTAGGATCTCGTGATCACCTGAATCGAAAGCAGCACTAAACCTGAGGTCATTCACAACAGAGACCAATTAGTCTATTACAGTTGGAAAGTAATTCTGCTGTCTCATTCAATACTCCATGCAAGCTTACGTCATGAATGAGCTTCAAGCTGTTTGCATCTTGACATCGCTCAGACATTCATACATTGATTATATAATCATATAATTTCAGCAAATTACAGCTTAATACATCATTTGCTATTTATAACTATCTTTATTTGGGGAAAGATTTACATATGTACATAAAAAATATGTACAAAAGTCATGTAAACACATGACTATTTCTTGAATACCCATGAACATAGATAGGGAAGTGAATACCAAGATCAATTGGAATATCTGAATGACCACAACCATCTCTATTGTAGGCTTGGCAAGTTACATATGAACTCATAAACTTGTCATTACATCACACCTGGAAATGTGTAAAATATAAGCTATTTCCCCAAAGGCTTCAGTGTAATTTCACAAAATTCATGAACAAAAACCATCATCCACACTGGCCTTATTCATCATTTCATGAACCCACCCTTGATATCAGCAATCAGTGTGTGACATCATCAAAAACCCATTTTGGCAGCCCTACTAAAAAGGATGGAGGAAAAACAATGCATTTACAAAAGCTTTATATCAAAACATAATGTTTTTGCAGCCCAAATAATACATTATTCTGGATTTTGATTCAAGGCAAATTTTAGCCTACATAAAGTAAGTTTCATCTGAAATCAGTCAAGCAGAAAGTTACATAATTTAACTTCCATCATGGCACTATTTTAATGTCCTCGTATGTTTGAAGAGTAGCGCAAGATTGCTTATTCTCAGATAAAACAGTGTTTTTGCTCAGTTGTATGCTTTAGTGTAGTTATAATGGCCAGCAGCCCTGCTGTAAATGCTACGAATTATAAAAAGTACTGACAAAACCACAAACTGCTTAAGGGTTGGCTTGTCCAGGCAAGGATAGAATATCATACATACAGCACACTATCATCGCACACTCATTCAAACAGCTTTCATTACTGTGTTCACAAAAAAAAAGGAGACATAAAGAGAAAGACAGAGAGAGAGAGAGAGAGAGAGAGAGAGAGAGAGAGAGAGTGAGTGTGTGTGTGTGAGAGAGTGTGAGAGAGAGAGAAAGAGTGAGTGTGTGTGTGTGAGTGTGCGAGAGTGTGCGAGAGTGTGCGAGAGAGAGAGAGAGAGAGAGAGAGAGAGAGAGAGAGAGAGAGAGAGAGAGAGAGAGAGAGAGAGAGAGAGAGAGAGAGAGAGACGGGGGGAAAAAAACCAACCTCCCTAAATGTGAGAGCTTAATTTCAACAAATATTGCATTCCCTATGGAGCATTACATTAAATTAAATATCCATATATATTCTTTTTCATTTTGCATTGGTAAAAGAAGAGCAGGACAAAATAGAGTATTGACACAAAAGGGTCAGTCTAGCTATACTGTATACATAGCACATGCAGTAAGAGACTGGTGAATGCTAAAAAATTCACAGAACACAGAGGACAAAGAAACCAAAAAAAATAAAATAAAAAAGCACAGAATACCAAAAACGGTCGTGTTAACAAGTGATAAATGATTGCCTTTTTGCAATACAATCAGCCACCATTCTTAACGGAACCGCAGGGCCATTATTTATTAATCAAGTAATATTCCTTTTGATATAGATACATATATATATTCCTCATAATCTACAGTCATTTTCTTCTTTTTTGGGTTGCACAACCAAACAAAAGGCTCATTTATGAAAAGTGCATTTAGAACATGCTTCTGTCAGCCAAACTGAAGCATACAAGGAGAGATAAGGCTCCCGATGTCTTTGAATCAATCTGATAATCCAATTCAAGAAGATCAAGTTCATCAGCATGTCTCTCACCGACGGTCCTGCCTGGAGTTTCTCTAAAGTCCACTGAGCTTGACCAAGATATCAGGGGGATTCAAGAGGGATTCCTAAGAAAAAAAAAGAGGGAAAAAAAACCCACAAAATAAAGTGAAACAATACAAGCATCATTAGCCATATGTACTCTGCCGTCACAAGTTTGGGATACTGCCACCTTTTGCAGTTTTCACCATTACATTTCAAGTCCCTGCAAAGATTTTGTTAGCGTAAAACTATGTGATAATACTTTGGGCATATTTTGTTTCAACACTCAGTTTCAAACTCATCTAAGTGTGTTCCTTGATATGAAGAGCAGATTTCCCTAAATAATGTTTTGACGATGATTTGCCAAAATAATCATGGTTTTCTTTTCAAAGCTATTGTTAAAAGGACATATTGAAATTCAAAGGTGGTTTAAACAGCTGAGACATTTGAGCTCTGATGTGTGCTGACATAACAACAAGGAGATGAAATACATATTATTGCAAATATGCCCAGTTTGCAAATCATTAACAACTTTGCTTGTTTGTTTTACATGCTCATTTGTATTCAAGAAGACATATTTTATATTTTTTTCAGTATACAATATAATATACTTCCCTGTGCTCTTTAAAAGGCATCTGTGATGAGTGGGTGAAAAAAATGTTTTAATTCAGTTTTTGTATAGTGTGTTTTAAGCCAGAATATTCTTATCTGTGAGTTAAGGGTTGTTTTCTGGCCGTTGAAATTATATTCAAATGAGAAGACTCACTGGCTGAATCTGTCATACCACAGCATTGTGAGAATAGAGACTAGCCAAGAGTCGACCCCGACTCTCAGACGTGTCTGGAGTCTTTGGAATCAACTCCCCATCTCTATGTGAGACTGTATGGCGTCACCTAGCAAAGCGGTGCTATAGAACACATATAAACAAGTTTCAGTTAATTTTTATGCTCTACTTCTAAATCTAACGAATTAAATCTTTTAACATCTATCATGATTGCAATCAGTTTACTAATGCTTCACAAACCTGCTGCTTTCAAGCTGAAAGATACCAGTTGAAAAAAAAGACTACACATGATCTAATGTGGTTTTCTAGTAGCAATGGCAAAATGCAGTGTGAGGCACTGTGCAGTCTATATTAGAGGCCTTTTGGCACATACATGAGACACCCCGGTTTTACCCTTGTGAGCTGGTTTTAGTTCATTCTCTAATGGCTCTGAGTTCTGGGCCTGCATTTTCCCCAGAGGCGGCCAACAACGCCTAAGCTGGCTTCTTGTTTGATTTTAGAGTCCGTGGCTTGACTCTGAAGTAGGGCTGGGCGATAAAACGATAACGATAATTATCGCGATGTAACTTTTCCTCGATAGAGCGATACGACATGTTCGATACATGTTCGATATAATACACCATTCTCACACTTCCACGTTCTAGCGAAAGCCTTGGTGGCGTTTTCTAGTGCAGGGAAAGCGACACTACTCTGCTGTCACCAGGAGAGGGTGCACTTCCGAGTTTTTCTACATGATTAGAGAGGGAGGGGGCCACAAGTAAGATGAGTCTTTAGCAATGGCTGAAACGCAGAGTTATACATTCCCTGTTTGAGTGGAGCGACTGGCGATCTGTTCCCCTGTGACCGAGTGTGAGTAACGAGATCAGTGGTGTAACTATACTGTCCTACAACAAACTCACCTCTTTCCATACATCCTAACAAGCTTTAGCAGCGTTAAATCACAATCACAATCCTCACAACTACAGCGCTGTTACAGCGCTCGGACAGTCCTATTTAAGTATTAGTGCATTCCCAAGCAACAAAAGTGAAAGAAAGTGGGTTCATGTAAATTACAGCCCTGATTTAAACGAAAGTAAACTGAGGAAGCTGTGAGGCACTGGAGAGCGGGAGAGCGCTAGCTCTCCAGGCTAGCTGTTTTTAGCAGCTGGCTAACTTGAAGCAGCGCTACGTCACTCCACAACACGGAGAATTGATGATACTGTAGATCAAACACGACACAAAAGCACCGCTTTCAGTTTAAACGCACCTAAAAGGAGGACTCTGTTTGTCTGGTGTTAGATATTTTGCGGTTCACCCCTTAAACTTCTACGATAGTATAGAGAAATCCAGTCGTTGCTAGTTGGTGTCTGAATACTGTGATGTCATTTGTAATGGGGTAGCCAAGCGCTCATCACCAGCTAAAAATTTTTTTTCTTTCTTAAATTACGACTATTACAAAATAGCCATGCTTTTCCAGCTGGTAAAAACAGCTCACCAGACACTTTCTCCCACTCTCCCATTACAGATTTGTGAAATGGTCCACTGTTTGATGACTGTTTGTCATGTTCTGACCATGAAGGATAGTTTAAAACAGCGGTTAACCACCCAGGAGCAAAAATCAACCTCCAAACTTGCAAGAAATAATGATTTGACATCTATCGCGATATGTTTCGATATCGAACAATATGAATTTTGTTTATCGTGATAACATTTTTGGCCATATCGCCCAGCTCTACTCTGAAGATTCAGATTTTGTCTTGAGGCGTTAACGCTACTGTGGCTGTCTGTGGTCTTAAGTAATAATAGAAATCACGTTGAAAACGGCAGATGCGGCGGTGAATGCTGGGTTGGTGGCTGCGGTTATTCTAGTGGAAGGGGAGGCAACACTTTGCTGTAACATAGACATAAGAAAATTCCAGTGGTCTGTGGAATCACAGCTTTTTTGAAAGGAAATTATGCCAAAACAGCAAAGATTTCAAATTTTATGAATACTTGTTTTACAATTTCTCAAATGGAATACAAAAGTGACATATCATATATGTGAACTGGCAAGGAAAATGCTGATTTGTTCACTTGCTCTCCATTAAAAACAAGGTTCAAGAGGCCTGAAACATTCTGAAAAGTTCCCTCAAACTTTTGACAGGCAGTACATACTCAGTGTTCTGTAAAATGCCCTACCTTTTATTCCCCAGGTCCAGACTCATTATTTGGAGAGTCTTCATTCTTCACCTCAGCATTGGCCATCTGCAGACTGCGTGTAACTGGACCACCCACTCTCTCTCGCATCCTCTTGGAGAATCGTTCCTCTTTTTTAATCTGGACTGGCACTTTGGGCTCCACCTCCTTCTTTGGGGCCATGTCTTTACTGCCACGTTGAGCTTTAGAGGCTGGCCTCGCCACAGGATCATTCGTAATAGCCGGTAACAAGGAGACTGGAACTGGAGACTGAGTGCTGCTCTTTCTGCCCTTCTTGCTTTTGGGTGCCGTGCTGTCTGTATTAGATGTGTTAGAAGCAGGTCTTTTGGCACGTACCTGAGGCATCCCTGTTTTACCTTTGCTAGCTGGTGTAACTTCATTCTCTAACGGCTCCGAGTTCCGGGTCCGTGTTTTCACCAGAGGCCGCACAGCAACGCCCGAGTCGGCTTCTTGTTTGACTTCAGAGTCTGTGGCTCGACTTCGAAGATTCATATTTTTGTCTTGAGGCGTTAATGCTCCTTTCTTTTTCTTAATAACTGGTTTTTGAGGACAACTGCATGCAACATGCTTCGAGAGGCTGGCAGGGTATGTAAATTCCCGACTACAATATGGACACACATTGATAGGCTGTTCTTCCTCCTTAACCTGAACAGAAGCTTTCTTTATAGAAGCAGCAGCAGCTTTGTTCTTCTGAGATATCGCCTTTTGGACAAGCTGGTTTTTCTTCTTGTTCAAGGCGGTAAGTTTTACCTTAGAGGGTATCTCCTGGTTGAAATTAAGCCTTTTGGGTTGACCCATTCTACGGAAGGCATTCTGCCCTCCGGTGGCTGCTGCTGCTTTGTTTGAAATGACACCATTTTGAAGCTGTTTCACTATCTGCCTTAAAGGAATGGGGTTCTTCTTGGGAGTGTACCGCCTCTTATCACTAGCATTTGCACAAGCCAAGATGTGCTTGTGGAGTTCAGGCATGTTGTCAAAACTGTTGCCACATTTGGTGCACCTGATTGCTGTGCTGAATGTCTGGGGGATGTTGTGGGTGGTGAAGTTAGTTGCGGATGCTACGGAACCAGCAGGTGTTCGATTGTGGTAGGGGAATGGTGGAGGCTTGAAGCTGGGGTAGTGTTGATTAATGCCAAGGCGCACATCTGGGCCTTTGGGCTTTCCAGCCTCAGACGCCATAATCTTTATTGTAGTGTACAGCTCTTCTGTGGGGTCCTCTTGCCCATCTAAATCATCGTTTTCTTCCTTTTTAATGTCATTAGTGCTACATACCCCAGTGGAATCCTGAGAGGCAACATCTACAGTTGTGTCAGGGGTTGAATGCAAGGAATTTCTGTCCATATCAGCCTGAGCAGGATCAGTGTAATTTTGAGGCCTGAGCTTGCCATTTTCAACTGAGGTGTAAGCACAGCTCTGGCCGGGATGCAGGTCGTTCTGGTGCTGCTGGAGGTTGCAGAGGTAAGCAAACTCCTTGGAGCAGAGAGAGCAAACATAAATTTTCCCAACTCCATGGAGAGAGGAGCGGTGCTCCAACAGAGCTGCAGCATTTCCAAATAACTGCACGCAAAACTCACACTTGAAAGGCCATTCTACAGCATGTTGCATAATATGGCTGCTAAGTTCTTTAATCGAGTGGAAAGGCTCTTCACAGACATTACATACAAAGCTCTTTGTAAATGTCTCCTGCTCTAACGTCTCTGCATCAGAAGAATTTGCTGCAGCTCTAGGTAAGGCTGACGAGGAAACGGTATCAGTATTGGCTGCAATTTCACCCGCCTTTTCAATAGTTAAGTGTTCATTAATGACCACATTATTATCGTCTAATGGCCCTAGATTAGAAGAACCTACCTCTACTTTGTGAGATGGAGAGAGTGACTCCAAATTTAGACTTAAGTGTATAGGAGAGTCAGGGGACTGTGGTTTTTGACAACCCTCAGTTTTAATATTGAGGTCTGGAAGGAAAGTTCCATCAAAGGAATTACTTTGGCTGGATTCGGAGTCAGTACTCCTTTCACAGGAAGAAACGGCATGATTTGCATTTTTTAGCAAATGAAGCTTAAAATCAGAGGTTGAGCCCTTGAGTAGTGTTTCAGATTTTGAAAAGGAATCTGCTTTACAATGTCTTTTTGTGTCCTGAGGACTTTGAGGCAGTGCATCAGTCATGGGGTCTAACTGCTCAGCAGTTTGGTCCAAGTCTTTAATGTTCAGATTCACTGTATCATCACATGTTTCTGTTACATTAGAGGATCGTGACATTTCCTCTAGTGGGTGATCAACGGGTTTGGGAGACAATTTAGGAAACGATGAGTCTGGAGATTGAGTAAGAGGTGGTGGTGAGGGGACAGTGGGAAGAACAGGAGGTGGAGGTGTAGAGGATGCCAGGCTAGATGACGACGGAGAAGAAGGGTTCATAGTAACAGGGGTCAAGGAAGGAGGAGAAGAGGATTCACACTGAGGGTTTTCTGAATTAGAACAAGGACTAGTGGGGGATGCACCTGGGGCACTGCCTGGAGACGAGTGAGGGTCTGGGCTTCCAAGACTTGTAGAACCTTCCTCTCCAGCAGAGCTTAAGCCTGCATACTCATTCATTAGCACTTTCTCTAACATGCTGGTGTTGGGCTTCTTTCTCTTAACATGTGGTGGTAAAGACATGCTTGTTTTTGTCTCATGATGAGTCATGCCCTTACGGTGCATGCTTAAATCTAGCACAGACTCACCAGGCCCTTTGCTTATGTAGCCTTCTCTTTTGCTAACAGCACTGGAAAGGTCAAGAGGCTGCTGATTGCAAGAATTGCCCCCACTTATTGAAGATGGCCAGTCCTTTCCAGTGGGACTCAGGGAGTCCCTCTGATCTTTGCTGGATGAAGTCCATGACTGGACGGTGCAATGGCTTTCGACCTTTGGCACCTTAAGGGTAAATCTATCCGCTGTTTCAATGTTTGAGCTTTCAGGGCTCAGTGAAGAGCTGCTTTGTACAGGGGTGGGAGGGGAAGCAGTCCTTCTTTTAAATTTCCCTTGAGCAGCAGGCAAGGAGGTTACGGAAAGAGGGGTAGTCAATCTGCGACTATCTGCAATTAAAGCAAGAGTTGGTTTCTGACTGTCCTGGGTTTGCAAAAGCTGTTTCAGTTTAGGGGAGAGATAAATGTTTTTTTCCTTTTGAAAGGCCAGTGTCTCTGTGGATTGTGGGAAGACATTGCCTACCAATAAGGGTGATTGAGAGGAAGTAGAGGAAGAAGAGGCAGTAGATGACATAGTTTCAGATTCCGTTTTCACAGTAGGAAGAAGTGGTGGTGTAGAAGTTCTCCTTTTAGGAACCAACTGAGCTGTAACTGAAAGCTCTTTTACAGGGCAAGGCTGTGTTTCAACTTTAAGTGCTTGACTAATCTGGTTGGGATTCAAGATGACTGCATCAAGACCAAACAATGCAGCAGTACTTGAATCAACCTCTATCACCTCACAGCTGCTAACAGTGTTTGTGGACAGGATCTTTCCATCTATGTAAAGGCTGAGGTTCTCAGAGATGTTTTTGGAGATATCCACCATGCCTTCCTCTCGTTCTCCCTCATCCTCTGTGTCCACGCTGGGTACATAGATAGGAGGTGGGCTGGCATTTGGAGAAGCCTTCTGGAGTGCTGTGGTTGGGCCCTGCTCTTGCTGTTGGGATGGCATGTCCTGTAAGAGAATTCCTTTCCTTCGAACACCTTTTGGCATTAGATGGCGTTCATGAATCCTTCGCTGGTGTCTGCGCATGTTTGTGTGAGTGCCAAATGCCTTGTTGCAATACTTGCAAGGGTGTAGTTCTTTTGACTCCCCATTCTCATCTAAAATGAAAGTCTGTTCAGGCTCCACTACAGCATCTTTACTTGAAGCATCTGAGCCTTGCTGAGATGGACCATTCTGAGAGCTCATGATGGTGGGGCTTGGAGATGTCACACCATCAGAGGTTGGAGGAGAGTCATTAAGCCTAGTGGGACTGAGCGGAAAAGCTGTTCCTGCAAGAGAAGATGGCCTTTTCAGGCTTTTACTCCCGTTCTCGTGCCGTCTTTCGTGTCTGCGCCTGCCTACCTGAGAGCCAAACGGCTTGGTGCAGTATTTGCATTTGAAGGTATGTGTCTGGTGATTTGCAACAGTGTGAATATGAGTGTGACGCTCCAGACCCTGTTTGGTGGAGAAATGGCGCTCACAGTGCTGGCAATGGTGGTTTCCATTTCCACCCTGTGCGTCATCCTCAAAGTCAGGATCCCCCTCTGCATCTAACTCAGGAGACACTACAGAGGACACAAACTCAGCTTCACGCAAAGGACTCACAGAGCTTTCCTTGACAGGGTTGCCAGGAATTAACTGTGGGTCAGGCTGTTCTTTCCTGTCTGCTGACTCTGTCTCAGCAGGGTGCTCTGGGCTTTTCTGTGGCTGAGGCAGCTCCATTTCTCCCTGATCTACTTCCTCCCCCTCCCTCTGCTCCATCTCCACTGCTAGAACACGAGATGGAGAGGAGTCCTTGGTCTCCTGAGAAGCTGCAGTCTCCTGGGCTGGCTCTGAGGATGCACAAGGTCTACATTCCTCTTTATTCACCCCTAAAAAAAAAACAGGAAAAACACTGATATCGCTTTGCCAAATCTAATTTGGAAGTACACCTTGTTATCACACCTTTAAACCCTTGAACTGTATGATTATTATTCAGGTTTTTCATCTTAAGACATATTAATCAGTAACTAGTATAAAACCAATGTACAAGTTATGTAGTTAGGAGAGTCAGTAATCGAGGTGCAAATCCACATACAAAACCCTTTCATTTTAAGGGGTTAAATCAACACAAAATAATAAACTGTTTAAATGGATTTCCAGAAAGAACAAATCATCTCCAAAAATCAAGTCAAAAATAACCAACCTTCCTCTGAGTCACGCATCTCAGCAACTGTAGGTTTAGATGCACTCAAAGGCTTGTCCTCAGATAATCTTCCCAAACCAGCCTGTCTGGCTTTTTCCAACAGCTTCCTTCTTGCTGAGAAGAAAAATACATTGGACTACTTTCAATGCAGAACAATAATTTTTAAAGTGAAAACACACGGAAGCCAGCCAAACATTCACAATAATCTAGGTGAAAGGAATCTAGGGTCATTCCACACTAGCTGTCACTGATTAACTCCTTAAATGCTAGGCTATTATTCAGTAACTACCATGAATTACTCATTAAGTACTATGAAACAAATGTGCAAGTTATGTAGTTATGAGAATAAGGAAGTGTGATCCCCAAACAGACCCGGTTGAAAACACAATTCCAAAATGTTCCTTTGTTTTAGCGAAAGAAATACATCCAAAACCTCCAGCATTGTATGCTAACCATTAAACAATGAGGTTTACACATCAGAATTAATATTTTGCAATAACATCTTAACGGCCAAGTTAAGTCACACCTGCAAGTTAACAGACAAAGAAGACTGTCGTGACCTGCTTTTCCCCCATACGCAACTAAACCCACCTGACTACAGCAATGACATGAGTATGACAAGCATCTGATGATTCAGGAAATGTATGCTCCCATTTAAAAAGGTAATACTACAAACATCTCAAGTTGAATTAAGCTTTAGGATTTGGTACACTTAAAAAAAACTACTACAATTTAAGACGATTCTGCATTATTTTGATAAGAATAATTCACTTTAGTTGGCTTTTATGGATGCCTTGATTCATCAAAACACCTACAGAAACTCATCTGGGATTGTGATTGGTCAGGATGCTCACACTACCCAGGAAAATAAACATTGTGATTGGTTAAAAGGCTTGTTTGCAAATTGTAGGACATGAGTATAGCAAAGGCCAATATTGCAATTACAAACAACAAACAATATACTGTGCAGCCCTACAATACGAGCACACAGAGAAGCTTAAAGGGTTAACAAAGACATAAGGATCCACAGAAAGCAAATCTATTTCAACTTTTAAACTTGATACCATTTTAACCAAAGAAATCCACTTCCTTCAAGTATTTGAGACATAAAATATGTCAAGAGAACAGTCAGCTGCTATCTGTTGCTACTGCTGTGCCAAGGTCATCTGGCAGCATCAATACAAATATACAAAGCCTGATTCATAGCTCAGACACACACACTCCCTAATCAGTCATCTGACTACACTTGTTAAGCGCTCACTGTACTGCCAATTTATTGTATCTTCAAGTAAGCAGCAATTTATTCCATCTTCAAGTCAGCAGTCTTCCATACTGTTCTTTTAGTTAAACCATCACTTGAGAGCACATTTCATTTTGCCAAATTGCTACCAAACAAAAATCAAGGTAGATACAAATTTGCCACATTTTCAAATGTATTTACAACAAACCTAGACATTTATTAATAGAAAATAATCACAATTTAAACCATCATCACAATGCTGGTAACAAAAATCACAATTAGATATCTTCTCGAAATCATCCTAAATCATCAGCCCTACTTTCTGGTAGTCTTATATTTCTTTTTCTTTAAATGATTATAACATTATGGTAAAACTGCAGCTCACATTGAATCTGTGCTTAAGTTTAGGGTAGAGTTCGGTACTATATGTGAAAATGCTCATGTAATATACATAATTATTGTGATAAATTACATTTTGGAGCAGATCTTGGATATCGTCATTACTTTTAGTCAGAAGATACACTCAAAATTAGCTAAAATTGTCAGTATCAAAACATTTGGTAATGTTTTTGTAGTGTTATGACTGTTTTATTAGTGACAAACTGCAATGTACAATCATTTGTTTTAATAAAATAAACATAAGTTATAAGGACAATCAAAGCAAAGGGATTTTGTCTATAGTCCAAGTTAGTTAAAAAGTCCAACCAAATACAGAACAAATATAGACCAAAAAAGATTAGACGCTCAACTTACAAACAGCTAATTTCAAAGCTTTGCAGTGTTTAGAAGAAAGAAAAAAAAATTTATCAGTACTCAGAAGTTTCAATATCGCTATCAGAAAAGAAAAAGTGGTATTGTGCTATATCTAATGTCATTAATGTTTTGCTGGTGCATTCTGTTTAGTCCAACTTCAGGAAAAAACTCAGAAAAATATTGCAATACATAATGTGTATACCAAAAATGCAGTCAGGTACTGTGATGTTACCTTCTTGCTTTATTGCCTACTCTTAGTTCAGGGCATTCACAAACAACAACAGAAAGGATCATTTACATCTCACGAGGAACAGAACACAAAGCAGTATATGGAGCTATAAACATGACTGTTTTTTAAGCGGTCCTGTCGTGGCTAATGCATATACAGTTGGCTTCTCAAACAGTTCAGGCCCAGCTTTTCAGCCTCTCTGGGTTAAGACAAACTTTACAGCACAAGTGGAAGACAGGCTGTATCAACTTGGTTAGGATAGGAAAAGGTACAGCATTTGAAAATGACAATTTATATTACTCACTCTAGAAAGAACACATTTGTCTTGTTACACACCAATGTAATCCATGGAAGTGAGAATCCTTCAATGACATTTGCAGCTAGCTGTTTAGTCAGATGTATGCGAACATGTCTGCAGCTTAGCAGATGAATCCACTGGTATTGGTCATTTTATATGCTTTTTAAACAGTAGCTAAACTGCATACAGCATCAATTGAACCAATGTCATGCAGATTACACCTTCTATTTTGTTCTGCCTGCAGAACACACTGAGCATGCCCTTTGACCTACAGCAATGTTTCTCAGCCCCAGTCATGTAGTTCACTAGTACATGTTTAAAGTTTTCCTGTACCATCATTAGCTAATGATCAAGTCCTTCTGGAGCTAAAAACAGGAAAAGAACTGGACGGGGAAAGACTGGTCTCTAAGAGGTAGCTGACTGTAGCTAGTTAGCTATACAAGTTTAACGTGACTAAGTCGAGTTTTACCCACTCTGTCATGACGGCGACTCAAATAAGACACGCCTTTTACCTTAATATCAGATTATCAGGTATGGATATGAGGTCTCTATTAAGTAAAATTAATTTTTGAGTTGCATGAACAAATCCACTTGGGTTTGGCCAGACCTTACAAAGTCATAAACCAGAAGCATTAAAGAAAAGCATCGTTTACCCAGCTTTCCTCTAATGTATCACTATGTCCATTACAGTCAGATTCATGAACATTTTAATAACTGAGTCAACTATATAATTATTTTTTTCAGATGATCTAACTGAGGAAAGGTCACTCCTTGCTCTTACTTAGTCCTTACTTAACAAGGCTGTCTAGGTCAATGAAAGAAGACCCGAGTGTCTGTACAAGACATAGCATACTGCTAACATGTTATTACGCCATAATTAAATCGTATTTACAGTACATTTTTACAGTTTTCATCCGAGCCGTTTCAGTATGATCGCAGATAGCAGTTATGGAATCAGCTAGTGCGGCTAACGCTAACTAGCTAGCTCGGAATCAAACACGGACTGTGGGCATTTTTTGGACATTTATTATTCACCTAATCGCATTTAATCAGTCAGTGGCGCGTCATCTCTGCTAACACAGTCCATATTTTACCTCGTTTTGCCCTTGGTGAGTGTTTTTTGCCCGAGCTGCTGCTCCTTTCTTCCTCCAGCGCGGCTGCTATCTCTGCGCTTTCTTCCCCATTGTACCACACCAGCAATTCTTCGCCTGGTTCGATTGGCTGCGGGGAAGCGATGAAGTCGACAACAGCCAATCACAGGAGAGCTTGTTGGTCAGTGATGTGAACACACTACACAGGCCTGTCAGGCGTTTACTGGGAAGCTCATCTTGAGGAACATTCAAGTGACTGTCAAATTTACTGAATTATCTCAGTTATCCACGTTCGTTTGTTTTAGCTGAGGCCAGAGCAGGCACTGGCTGTAAATCTGACTATTTTTACTTTACTCGAACAGTCTAGTAGTAATAAGTCAAGACAACTGGACTTAGTGGGTAGTAATACTTAAGATATTCATCTTGCCCTTTTCCACCTACTATTTCCTAAACCCACTCAAGCCCAAAACTCTAGTAATGTCATAAAATGAAATGCACTGTAAGCAGGGGTGGAAAATACTAAGTGATAGTACTTTGTTACTTAAGTACAGAGGTGGATAATATTTGAGTACTTCTACTATATCACTGTACTTAGTAATATTTATAGTAATAGTAATATTTATACTTAAGTACTACTAAAATTTAATACCTCTACTTTTATTCAGTTACATTTCCAAGAGAAAAAAAACTCTTTACATTTTCATTTAAGCCTTCAAAGTACTCCTTACACATCTTAAAGTTCGTGTGCATTTGTAATTTTTGTTTTTAGTACAACATAAAAAAGTATGTTTAAATGTAGATACGCTTATTTTCATCTGAGTACATTATTAGCACTGCACTTTCTTTTTTAATCAAGTAAGATTTTGACAAAGTACCCATACTTTCAGTTAAAGGGACACTCCAGCCACAATGAAAAATGTAAATATTACTAGATTTGTTGTACACATGCCACTCACCCCCTGCCATAGTGCCACAGTAGTTTACAGAGAGATATTTTTTAGTTAAAACAGACATCTAATGATGTATCCTGAAGGTCAGAGGAACTATTACTAGAAAAACTACAAAGGCTAATGCAGAAGGAAGCCAGACAGCTAATATTATTGCAAGCAAGTTGAACATCTGTATTTATTAGCCTCTACATCAGTGACATCAGTGGTATGATCATTTGCATAATGCATGATGGGTGTTGTAGTGAGACAACACCGATGGCGAAAGATAAAAAGGACATAAAATGGTGGATTCTGTGAAACCCATGAGGCTGAGGGATGCAATGCTCCAGTACAGAACATTACATTACATGACAAACAACATTAAATGCTTGTTTTAGGTCAGAGTGCCACTTTAAGTATAGTTTCTCCGTACTTTTTCCACCCCTGATCATAACATATAATGTACATGTAAGGTAGGCTAACTGAAGGTTTCCTACCCTCAATACTTTGTAGTAAATAGCCCTGTTGATTTCCAGGGGAAACAGGTTCTGCTCTTGAGACGAGCACGCCCAGTTCACATACCGCAACCAGTTTCCCTTCATGGGGTCAGTGGCGTCCACACACATCCATCCCCGAGCTGGGAAGTATACCTAAAAGGTGATCAAAATGTTTTGAGCAGTTATAAGGTAGAAACTAACCATGCACAGATATTTTAAAAAATATTGTGGAACAGATATATTTTTTTCACAACTGAAAGCATACTGCTACTTGTATGAATGGTGCTCTGGAAATAAAGATTTATATAAAGTAAATATAGAAAAAAAGACAGCTCTAGCATAATTTGCTTAAATGTTTGTTTAGTGAGTTGTCCATAGTTTTGTATAGCTCACTGACTAAAGTGTTTCCTCTATTTTGGTAGTTACCAGTAAAGAGTACAGAGGATATAAGGGAAATGGGATAGAAGCCACCCTTAAGAACAATTCCCATTTACTGTGAAGTAATACTTGTTCATTAGGTTAGCATGAGGGTGCACAGACCAACGCCCAGTGTGGGGAGATGGATTGGAACTGCAGCCAATTTTGTTCTGATAGCAAAAAAATGAAAATCTTATAAAGGAGCATCAATATGTCCCTCTCTACGTGATGCCTCCTGGCGAATCTTGCATAAATTAACCATGATAAAAAAAGCATAAGATGTTTGCAAAACTGATGTTTGGTTTATGCATTGAGCATTTGGTAGATGCATGAATAAATGCTTTAAAGTTAAATCTTGGCTAAGTGCCCAGTGTAAATCTGTCCCAGGTTGGTTATTTCTGTTATTAATATCTTTTGCTTTTTATCTTTGGAGGCTTTCTGAGGCTTCAAAGTACAGCCTTCTGGTTTCCTTTTAAGTGGCACTCTCATTATTAAGGAAACAGCTCAACACTTTGGCGATGAATTCTTATGTCTGCTAAGCAGCTCTGGGTAACCCAGAGATGAATTGGCATTTTCTTTAAGTCCCTGGAAGCAGTTTGACATGCACTGGAAACTGGGTTGCTAGATCATGTACTGTAGGCTGTTTACATAAGCCAACATCAACTCACCAAAATGCTACTGCCGAGTTGCAGCAGATCACATACACATTATATGATCAAAAGTATGTGGACACCTGATCATCACACCAACATAAGCTTATTGGACATCCCATTTCAAATAAATGGGAAAACTCAATATGGAGTTGCCCCCCCTCCGAGATTGTGTCCTTTCAGTCAAAAGAGCATTTATGAGGTCCAGCACTGATATTGGATGAGAAGGCCTGGCTCGCAATCAACGTTCTATTTCAATCCAAAGTTATTCAGTGGGAATGAGGTTAGGGCTCTGTGCAGGCCACTGAATTCCACCACACCAAATGAGTAGCGGTGTGCTTTACACTACTCCAGCTGACGCTTGGCACTGCCCATCTGATCTTAGGCTTGTGTGCAGCTGCTTGGCTATGGAGACCCATTTCATTAAGCTCCAGATGCATAGTTCTTGTGCTGATGTTGATTCCAGAGGCAGTTTGGAACTCTAGTGAGTGATGCAACAGAGGATGGACAAATTTGTACATGCAACGAGCTTCAGCACTTTGTGGCCCTGCTCTGAGAGTTCGCATGGTCTACCACATTGTGGCTGAGTGTTGTTGCTCCTAGATGCTTCCATTTCACAATAGCACTTACAGTTGACCAAGGCAGATCTAGCAGGGCAGACTTGTGACAGAAAGGTGGCATCTTATGACAGTGCTGCGTTCAAGTTCACTGAGGTCTTCTTATTCTACTGCCAGTGTTTGGCTATAGAGATTGCATGACTATGTGATTGATTTTGTACATCTTTTAGCAATAGGGGTGGCTGAAACACCTGAATTAAACACTTAGGAGAGCACATTTTTTGGCCTCATAGTGTATGTAAATATACACTAGTTTATTACTAATATGTATAAAATGGATAAATACACATTATACCTGTGTTAGATGTACAGCACTGTACAAAAGTCAGAGACCACCCTTCATTTACTTTATTTCCAGGCAAAACAGCTTCAGACATGAAAAAACACAGAAAAAATAATAATTTGTACTTAATGGCCGTTTTGACTGGAAATTAGACAAATGAAAGGCAGTCTCTGACTTTTGCACAGCACTGTATACTAATTTGCATCTAAATCTATTTATACCCCCTCAACCTAAGCCACAGGTAAACAATCCCTTCACAACTTTGGGCAGTTTTAACCTACCTCCCACATGTAAACATTGCTGGTCACTTGAGACCTCTTCTTCCTCTCTCCTATGAAAGGGCCAAACCTCTTTCCTTTAGGAATTAGGCTCGATGCCCAGACACCTGTAGAGTGTAACACATCAGAGCAATTATCTATTTATTATACACTGGAATCATACTGCATTTTCTGTACAACAGAAAAGACATAGATGTAGTGAACTATGGGATATACAAACAGAACATCCCTTATTAGCTACACATATACATACTTTGAATGCCACATGGAAAGATTAAAACATAGATTTTCAGTCTGGTAAAGAATTCTGGGGTTCATGCAAATGAAACCAAGAAACTCTGGTACATGAAATCTACTCTTCAGCTGACAGTCAAATTGACAATCTTGTCCAAAAGAACAATGCCAATATGCCAGTTTGACAATATTTTGTTTTCCAGGCAAACAAACATGAAGAATCGCATGATGTTAACAGTGTTACATGCCATCAGTGCAGAGCATATACATTATTAAGTCGTTTTAGGAGCTAATCCTGCCGGTAATTATATGGTAATTATACTACCAGCCGTAGCTATGAGCTAAGATGCACAATATCATTTATCACAATAGTAGTGATAATCGTTTCTCTAATTTTACACATTTACATACTGGTTTTATTAATGACCATGACCATTTAAACTACCTGATCAGAATACGTTTAGTCTTTGCTAAAAAAATAAAAAAATAAAAAATGTATTCTTCTACTATGATGGCATCATTAATATCATTAATGGGGAATTCCAGAAGTTTCTCACAGATGTACAATTTTATTCCTCAATACCTCATTGTAACTACCAGGCACATGCACAAACAGACCCCAATGGAGACTTGAGTCCCAACCCCTCCACTATTCTTCAAGATCCGTTTCAGGGAGATAAGGCTCAGCCTCGCCCTGAGAACAGAGCTTGTGGTTTAGTTTGGATTCTACATGAATCATCACTCTTGGGCGCCCTCTTTGGTGCGCTACCGACCACCTGTGGCTCTCAGTAACTCTTAGCTGCATCTATCACCACAGCACTGGAAATCCCACCAATACAAAACTGATAATCTCTTTAAGATAGTGTCACATTCCATAATGTGGTTATTTTGAATAACAACCACCCTTTTGGCAATAAGCGTGTTCACTTACTACACCATTTTTTTATTATTATAAAAAAAACAAGGAATTATATGAGACTGTGAGCTCTTAGGGTTATAACTAAACATTACATAGTGATTAGATAGTGTGGTAAGTGGGATTTAAATCCCAGTTATGTTAATGCTTTTGGCTGCCTTTTAACACTACATTTACTTGTATCTGAAATATGATTACATTGTCTCTTTTTAAAAAAAAAAATAAAAAAAAGAGTGAGTGCAATAAATAGTTAAATTCTTGTTGCTCTTTTTCCCCCCTTGAGACCCTGCCCCCAAAAATGTCTGAACGGGCCTGGTAACTACCACATGCTAACTTAACGAACCCCCTAGCTATTTAGCCAAGGGAAATAAGGGAATAATCAGACTGCAAGAGATGGTAGAAGTCCAAAGAAAGAAAGTAATTCCTACACCCTTGTGGCTTGAATTATTCACAGTCTCTTTCAGCTCTTCGTCATGCACATTAGGGAGTTCAAGCTGAAACTGGTGGAGAGAGAGGAGGTATGAAAAAGTCTGGGGACACCTTGCCCTCTGTTGAAATGTTCTTTGTAAAGTTTATGTTTCACTGGAGTAAGAAAAAACCTGCAAAGGCTTTTGTTTTAGCATAAAACTGCCATTTGCTAATCCGCTGGGAGTATATTTAGCTTAGCCTTGTGTTCATCAAAGTGCCATTCTTAGTATGAAGAACAGGTTTTGCCTTACTAATGACTTAACAGTTTTCTTTCCAAAACAAATGTTTCAAGCACATATTGAAACTTTTTTGGCCCAAAGGTGGTTTAAAGGTTGAGTGCCAACATCACAACAAAAGAAAAAACGTAATGTGTATGCTTTCGCCTTATTCCTAACATAGCACAGATACTGACACTAATCTTTATAGGTGTGGTATGGCTTTTCTCTACATCAACTTATTTTAAGTTATTGCTTAGCCTATTAAGGTATTGCAAACTAACAAAGAAAACATGCTCATGATTTACCTATACGGTTTGGATTGACAGCAGATGGGCTCAGGCTCATGCTGTCTGGAAGCCCTCTCCATACATGGGCTGGAATATCATCCAATGTTTCGCATGCCCCTCCAGATACAGCCATTACCACCTTGGGAAGAAATACACAACCACCAAAAACAAAACTACAAAAACGACACAGACATAGAAACTGAGAGCTAAGCAAAGATATCTTGTTGTCATATTTATAGGTAGATTTGCAAATCTGAAGAATGAGTCCTACCTGAAGACTTCATTCAAGCTCAACTTCACAGACTCTACCTTTTACACGGGTTCTACAAAAGAGCAAAGTAGAAGTTTTAGTCATGCAAGACTAAGTAAGAGAGAAATGTTTTAAAGATACAGATGGTGAAAAATCTAATTCATACATTTGCCCTACCTTACTCCAAATGTAGCTGAAGTCTGAACTTTTTTTTTCCTTCAGCTTTTCACTGGAGCTGTGAGACTGATGTAGCTAATAAGTAATGAAAGCAATTAGCATCATACAAACTGCATGTCTAAATCATCGCATGCTGGCCTCAAACTGTGTCGGGTTGCTAAGTAATTTCTAACAGCCTTGCTTATGTGGTTTCTGACACGGCTTGACAAACTATAAAAAAAGGACAAAAGCATGTAGCAAAGCTAAAAATAGTAGCAGTCGTCTTGATACTTGAATTGTGTTTGTACTTTTGTCCATTTTTATAGATAACAGTCTGTCATATAGTGTAAAAAAACACTACGTCTTCTTTGACAAACTTGCAATCTGACATGGCTTGAGGCAAGTATCTGAAGATTTAGGTAATGCTAATTGGAGGGGTTACAAGGAAGGCTTGATTTAAGTGGGAATTCAAGGAGATGCCAACCCCCCAGTCAAAAAAGAATGAGGATTCATTCTTTTGAAAGAAGCAGGCAAAAATCCATGGACATTATCAGGCAAAATTAAAGAAGTCCAAAATCCAGCAGCACCCACAGCAAAGCAAAGCACTTCCGTCATCCAGACAAGGGCAGCCACTATTAAATATTTTCATTTTCGAATACTCTATTGAATATTATCTTGAATATTCAAATTCTGTAATAATAAAAAAGATATTTCCTTATAATAACTGAACAGAAAAAAACTTTTTTTTGTTATTGTATTTTTTGTTTGCTTGAAATTGCTTGAGATGTATTCATTTTGCTTTTTAATAACATTTTACTGAAATTGAATGGTAATGAAAATAGACAAAATATGTCTTTAAATACTGACATCACACAGAGTCACAAAGAAGCTCTGCCTCCATGTTTAGGTCTCAAATGCAAAATCAAAATTACACTGTTGGAAATGTGCTGACAATAGTAGATATTTCACTGACATCCTTGGAGGATGTGTCCTTGAACAATTTTGACTGAATTCTCTATGAATACTCTTTCAACGCACTCGCAAATCATAAAATGCATCTGCTCGGAAAAGAGGACCGAAGCACAACTGCCGTTACAAAACATTCTTCCACACATTGTGTGCAAACAGACATTTGAACCAGAGAGGTCTAAATCAAGTCCCACCAGATCTATAATCTTACATAGGGCAGCAGACTTAATTACCAAATTTATCAAGGATTATTTAAAAATGCTGCAGCTCTAATCTAGACACTAGTTAAATAACAGAAAAAGCCAATATGGGGCGGGCAATCAAAACAGAGGAAATTTACATCACCCTTACAAAAAAGTCACACATATTTGATGTGTAAAGTGTTTAAAAATAAACAAATGTAACGTCATGTTAATAATACGTGATCACTTATAGCGTCTTAAAACCACACATGCTTACTGACACGCAAAACTCGTGTGGTAAGCACTGTCTTGAAGTCACAGTAACGAAAACAGCCTATTTAACTGTAAGAGATAAAGAGATGTTGGAAAATGTTCAAATAAATTACAGCCGTTTATGGTACATAAAATCACACACAAATCAAGGAAAAGCAAAATACAAGAAAACTGTAAAAAAACTGTATCTAGCATTGCTTATTACAAAGAGCTTATAATTTGTTCTATATTAACACATTGATGGTCTCATCATAGTACAGTACGTAGTACATAATACAAAGAGAAATATATGAAGTTCGGACACCAAACATGCTCATAAACCACGCTTGCAGTGAAGGGAAAATTGTGTACATTTGACTTTTTGCCAAATTATCAACTTTGTCCCATTTTGCAGGACTTGTTTTTTTTTGCTGATCATCAAAATGGAGACATAAGCTCTAACTTCAATGAAATATGTTATCATCTCTTTTGTAGCTGCACAGAGTACGAGTGTTTGATAAAATGTTTCACATTTCAGTCAGCATTACCAGGATCCATAAGGGAAAAATAAAGACTGAAGAAGAAGAGGAAAAAGACATTCTATTGGACTATTTGGCATAAATTACACACCTAATTAAGAGACTATGCTTTGTGAAACTTTCCCCAGGTTTTTTAGTCTCTAAGGGCTATGAGCTAAGCAGCGCTGACCAAAGCGTGAGTGGATTACACAGACAGACAGCAGATGCTGCTCATTACTACAGGGACACTCCCCGTCACAACAGCTATTATCAAGGGTATTACAGTCATTACACGCTTTCTACCATTACCCCAGAGTCAGACCATATACTAAGTTACATCCCATCTGTCTGTTTGAACATCTGTATGCATGTTCCAATTGAAGCTGACAAACACGTACCATAGCCCATCCTATTACAGCTTTGAACGAAAAGGAGGGCAGCGTGATGTGCACAAAATACTCGAATTGCAGTATGCCTTACAACATACCACTGTCACTAAAATACATAGTAAAATTTTTTTTTTTTTGCTTAATTTATATTTATTTGCTATTTATTTTGCATATTGACAAAAAAAAACATACAATATAAAAAGTGCAAGAACTTTTGCACAGGCCATATTTATGTTTTTTTAAATATATTAAATTCAGCAAAACAGTAACTGTGCAAAAAATTGTGCAGAAGTGTGTTCCCTGTAGAGGATGTGTACTTATTATCACTTAGAAAATCAACAAAACATGTAACAAAAATTTTTGCATACAACTAAATGAACCTTAATGTACAACCCCATTTCCAAAAATGTTGTGATGCTATACAGAATGTAAATAAAAATAGAATGCAATGATAGGCACATCATGTAAACCATATTTATATAAGGAAAGTACTACAAAGACAACACATCAAATGCTGAAATTGAGAAAATTTATTGATTTTTGGAAAAATATATGCCCATTTTGAATTTTATTCCAACAAGATGTTCCAAAAAAGTTGGGATGGGGGCATGTTTACTACTGTGCTGTATCATCTCTTCTTTTCACAACTCTCCAAGTGTTTGGGAACTGAGGAGACCGACTGCTGTAGTTTTGAAAGAGAAATGTTTTCCCATTCTTGCTTGATATAGGATTTCAGCTGCTCAACAGTTCGGTGTCTCTTTTGTCATATTTTTGATTTCATAATGCACCAAGTGTTATCAGTGGGTGACAGGTCTGGACTGCAGGCAGGCCAGTTTACCATGGTAGAAACCGGACTCTTTTACTATGGAGCCATGCTGTTGTAATATGTGTATAATGTGGTTTGGCATTGTCTTGCTGAAATAAGCAAGGTCTTCCCTGAAAAAGACATCATCTGGATAACAATAAATAAATACATTTCTCAGTTCACAGTATTTGATATGTTGTCTATGTACTATTTTCAATTAAATATAGGAATTAAATGATTTGCACATCAATGCATTCTGTTTTTATTTCCATTTCGCACAGCATCCCAACTTTTTGGAAATGGGGTTGTACTTCCTGGTTTGCAACAGGCATGTAAAGCTGAATTCCAAAACGACTATAACAGAAAAAAGCCTTGTTTTTTAAATATGTAAAGCAGTCAGACACTGCTTTGGAATTTACATATGTACTCGCATCCTGTGGCAAACTAGGGTAAGTTTCCTCCACAACTGGGATATTAGCACATATGTATAATACAGAAGAAACTGACATAAACTCACAACAGCAAAAGCTCACAAATGCATGTGTTTGCAGTCACAACTTTCAAAACGAGACAAAATATGTATTTTTTCCACCTGTGGGCCATGTGGGGTAAAAATTAATTAGATTATATGGATCTATTCAACCTCTCAGCCAGGGCCAACAAGACCTTCACAATAGCCCACAGCTCCTTAATCTCACCCACACAGACCTAGCTTTACACTGATATAAGGAACCCTTTGTTTCAAAGTGCTATACAGCCCTCTGACCTGTAGAAACAGGCCACTGTTATATTATTAAAGGAATACTCCAGCATTTTCTACCTAATCTCCACCTGTCACATTAGTAGAAAAACTGTCACAGATAATTTGCCTGTACTTAGAAAAGAAAAAGAACATACTTGCATAGATGCTGAAGTGTCTAGATTCCATTATAAGTGAGTTTTGAGTCAGTATTTCAGTTCTTTACAATCTTAAGTACAGGGAAAATTATGGTCTGGGGTAATCAAGCCAAGGCTACAGGTCCAGAAATATTCCTTTAACAGCCATGGGTTGGCAAGAAAATGCTGTTTTTTCCTAGTAGATGAAAAGACAAGTCCGCTGAAGAGAAGCAAAACTGTCACCAGCACTGGACGGCTGTTAAAGGGAATAAGAGAAAATTGTGCAGACAGCATGACACACAGAGACGCTCTGATGGGATGCTGTTACGCAAGTTTGGAGGTCAAAGACAGCTGCTGCTGGCTGCTGGTTCACACACAGACACACACACACACACACACACACACACACAGAGAGACTAAAGAAAGTCAAGCAAGCTTATATTAAGGCTACACTAAATGCACTGAATTTAGGTGATTCAAATTTGTATATAATTTTTACATTGACAAAGTAAATCAACAAAATTTTGTCTTTCAGTTAATGTACTTTTGGCTATAATTGTGTTGATGTAATATAATTTATTCAAATGGAAATTCTGTACACATTTTCGTGAAATTGAATCGTGAGCTAAGTGTATCACTACACCCCTTTAATTTTCTCATTCTAATGCAAGCATGTAATGTCTGGATAAATGATTGAATAATACTTGGCTAACATGTTGCTTAAATGACCAAATAATGCATTTTTGCAACTCTATTTTTCTGCCAAAGTGGATAATTACCCCCCAAAAGTTAGCTACAGGATTTCTCTAGCGTTTTTTTAAGAAGCACTTCATCCAGGATTGTTAGATTAACAGCAGGCCGTCACTGGGCTTGGCCTTGTCACTTTCTCAATCAATAAACAAAGAAAACACAATAAATTCTTGGATATCTA